ATAGGTGGGCTATATGATAGCCAGAAGAATATCGTGTGTGCAAATGAATTCAATCGGCCTTAACTCGTACGGAAAGAAGCTACTATACAGCGAGAATAACACATAATTTTTGATATATCTGATCGGTTGTTGAGCAGATCACGTGCTCTCCTCTGAGACTCTAGTAGGCGGATGGCGCTAGGGATGACGCCACTCCTAGACGAGCACGGAGCATACGTGCGGAACACGAAACTTATTTTTTTGGATGTTAGGTATTCCCTACCCCTAGCAGTCCAGTTTCGGACCCTCCTCCAATATTCATTCAGGGCTACCATCTAAAATCTACTGAATACAGCTTTATCAAAAGAAAGATACTCAGATCACGTAAAGATCCAGACTGTTAAGGTCATTAGGTCGAAATGCAGTAGTGGATTCCATGTAAATGTAAAAGCTTGTGAAAGCAACGCAAAAGAGAGGAAAAGCAAAAACGGCGAAACCGAAACGATTATAGTGGGGTGATATGTTTTCAGATAAGCTTCGAATTTCAGGAGCTCCTACGGCCAAGAAATAAATTAGATGTAAGAAGCGAATCACATTGATGAACCCAGATCATTTACATAATTGATAAACCTTAATAAACTAGTTGTACTGGCCGGTCTAAAAAACAGAATTTTTCGGTTATGTTTCACTATCTCAATGTAGGCTGCAAAATGATACGTTTATGGTACGAGTTAGCGGTGATCTAGCTATTATTATAGATAAGAACAATAACTTTGCATATCGGTTTGTTCGTAAAATTGTAAGTAAAGGTTTGGGCATAAGTGGGGTGACAAGATTGAACTACAGCAGACGCATTCACTGAGCAATGTGCAGAGCTCATGGCTGAACCATCAGATTCGCTATTGTCTTTTGTATACAAATATATGGCTCCAGGGTTTTGTGATCTTCATTTCGTGTGGCTCCACTTAATCCGGAACGAGTGGGATTTCATGCGCTGTTCGGTGTTCCTTCCGCGACCTGCAATATCCGAAGGATGTCACAGGACTCGCGATTGCAGTGCACAAAATGGTCTTTCTCGCATGGAGTCGATCCATTATGGAGGCTTAAGGATGGCCGCGAATATTGTCAAAAGCGTATTCACCGCAATTCAGAGAGGATTATAGTAAAATAGGCTATATAGATTCTCAGCATAGAAAGCTCAGAATACAACCTCTAAATACGCAAACTACAAGATTCCTCGGATAGTGAGAGGAAGAGCAGAGTTG